TATATAAACAATAATTATTGTTAAAAATTATCACAGGTAACATTGCAATTATAATTTTCTGTTGTCTTTTCTTGACATAATGATATTTCGTCAAAATTTAATAAACAGCTAGTGTTTGATGAAATAACTGCTTCTTCTTCAGCTGCATGAAAAGATAATTGCAAGGAAAAATTTGTATCCTTGCATTTCCAGTGACATGTAGTGTTTTTCGTACCGTCACATAATACTACTGAGGAATTCTTAAATAATATATAAGAATTTTTAATACAAAGAAAATCGTATATTAAAATTATTAATTATTAGAGAATTAATGATAAAGCTAGTAAAAAAGATCGAATTTTTTTCTTGAAATACATATAATATACTTCGAGATAAAGCTAGCGGTAGCGCTTTGACAGTGCCAGTACCGTATACTCACAGGTCATGACTTAACTGACCGACTTTTATACACTTAGGCGTCGCGTCGCTACCGCGTCGCTTGATGTTATCAAGATCATGATTCTATGAAAGATGTAAATAGTTTGTAATACAAATATGTGAATGAGATTACAAAAATGTTATTGTTAACATTTTATGAAAAAAAATACGCACTTATAAAACATAAGACTTACAGAATTTATATCACAAAATGGTAAAAACGCACAGGAAACGTTTTGGAATGATTGATGATCTGGTAATATTGGTCCCGGCAAAGGAGGTAGAAAATACAACAGAATATAAGAACTATTTGCAACGATGAGTACAGCCATAAAGATCAATCTTTTTTTAGTTTGAAAATAATCCATAATGAGACCGAATATTGGTTTAGTAATCACATATAGAATAGGTAAAACGGCAGTGATACTACCCATTATTATTGGAGAAACACCAAGTTGTTTACCATAAACAGGTATAAATGGAAAAATAGATCCCATACCTAATATAAAAATAATTGGATTATTATTACATTTATATAATATGCAACAGCAATAATTTTTTAGATTAAAAATAATTTATTTTTAATATTTCAAAAATTATGAAGATGTGTATTTTTAAAATGTAATCAACATGTGTTTCATATTGTAAATAATTTAAAATGTTTAAAAACTTTTATGAATTATAAAATGTATTATAATAATGTTTTAAATAATTTCTTATAAAATTGTATTATATATGTTGTAAATCTATAACATATTACTTAAAGAAACACATATGAATTTTAAAATTCGACAAATCATTTTAAATAATAAAATATGATGTAATCATCTAATTACCTCCCATAAAAAAGAAATAATGTGCCTTTAAAGACAGTAGCGTGTAATTAATTTTCATAATTTATATTCGATATAACAAACAATATGCTCCAATTTTTCTTTCTAAAAACTTGTTAAATTAGTATTATGTCACAAAGGAATAATATTACGTTTAAGATTAAAAGTGTATAAGAATAATAACATGCACAGATATTTAAAATTTTCTACAAACATATTTTATATAATAACATCTAATATAATATAAATATTTGATATTTTTAAATATTGTGAAGAGATGTACGATAAGTAACAGGTAACAAATAAGTAAAATTTGTAAAATCAAAAGCATTATAAATATTTTCATTTTTTTTACCAGATGTAAACTTTTTCACTCAATGTATCTACGCACTGATGCGACGTAGTGAAACTATGTCAACTAATTTGCGACAAACACAATATGGTAAAAGTTGATTGCGATATATATAAAACAAAAATTATATATAAGAGAACAAAGTTTATCGCAGTTTTATAAATTTGCAACTTTATCGGATCGTTTACATTATATAACCATTAAAATGTTAAATTATTGTAAAAAAAGGTTTTATTATAATAAATTAAACTCTTATAATAAAAATTCAGCTCATTACATTTAAAGAATTTTTTACTAAAATATACTATCTGATGGAATTGGAATGTCCAATATACGTACGTATGTTACTGTGTGTAGCATGTAATTCCTGATAAAATTTAATAATACAAGAATTATGGATTTTATATAATTTTTTAGGCTACAATATTTATAATAAAATTGTGTCATATAGATACACTGCTAAAAAAAATTATGGCACAGAAAAATTTTGAGCAAACAACTTTGGTTAACGGTAACTCCGCGAAAAATCATCGTAAAATGATGAATTTTTTTTAAATGAAAGCTTGAAATCTTTACTTTAAGATACTGTGAGTCGATTTTAAATTTAATGCACCCTTGTTGTTGTAAACTCTTAAATCTGAGAGCATGTTTGCCACACTGAAAATTGCAAAGTTTGAACGAGTGCACGAACTTG